GCCTGAAATACCTTTTCTGCTTTTGTGTCTACTGAGTCTTCATGACTCGGTTCACATGTGTCAGTCCAATGACATCTTTCAGGGAGTTTCCTTTCACAGCTGAGTCCTGTGTCCTTCATTTATGTTCCTCTCGTAGCCAATGCGTAATTTTAAACAATAAACTCATTATCCATGTGTTTGCTGCACTGCAGTCCAGTAGTATGCTGACTTGTTCATGTCAGGTCTGGACCATGCAGTCTCAGAAACAGAGTTTGTTTTTTGTCACTAAATCACTAATGCTGGACCCAATGCCTAGCAGTGAGGAGTTACAAAACACATTTTGTTCACTAAATGTTAATGAAAGGCAAATCAATACTGTTTTCCCATAGATAGGGGAGATGTTCAAATATTTAACAACTAGTTGCTAAATGAACCTGCTGGTCAAAGAGAATGATTGTAACAACTGGTAATGCTGTCTTCATTGCTCCTACCAATGACATCACCCTAGGCTATGGGTATGGTTGACCTTTTATATAACAGAGAGAAACTACAGATACTTTTCTGTCCACATGCAGTGAGACTGTGTTTTAAGAACAGACTGATAAAGCAATAAAATAGGAAAGGGAGAAGTTAAACTGTCATTATTTGTTGACAATATGATACTCTACATTGAAGACCCAAAAAACTACCAAAAGACTTCTAGACTTAATGGACACTTTTAGCAGAGTAGCTGATACAAGGTCAACACCCAAAAATCAGTAGCCTTCTTGTACACAAATAACAGAGTCACTGAGAGAGAAATTAGGGAAACAATTCCTTTCACAAAAGCATCCAAAAAAATGAAGTATCTAGGAATCAATCTAACAAAAGAAGCAAAAGACCTCTACACTGAAAACTACAGCACTTTGAAAAAAGAGATCGAAGAGGATATAAGAAAATAGATATCCCTGCTTCTGGGTAGAATGAATCAACATAGTAAAAATGGCCATACTACCAAAACTGCTATACAGATTCAATGCAATGTCAATTGAAATTCCAAAACTATATTTCACAGAACTAGAAAAAAGAATCAAAAAATTCATTTGGAACCGTAAGAGACCTAGAATAGCAAAAGCCATCCTAGGCAACAGACACATGGCAGCGGGTATAACAACTCCCAATTTAAAACTATACTATAAAGCCACTGTGGTAAAAACAGCATGGTACTGGCAAAGAAACAGACCTGAGGATCAGTGGAACAGACTGGAAGACACAAAAACAACTCCAGATGTACTCAGCTACCTCATCTTTGACAAAGGAGTTGACTGTCCCCACTGGAGGAAAGATAGCCTCTTTCATAAATGGTGTGGGAAAAACTGGATCTCAACCTGCCAAAGATTAAAACTAGACCCCTATCTCTCACCATGCACTAAATTAAAATCCAAGTGGATTAAAGATCTAAATATTGAAACAGAAACACTAAACTTGCTGGAAGATAAGTTAGGCAGAACTCTTGAAGACATTGGCATAGGAAAAGACTATGAACAAATCCTCAGTAGCACGGGAACTAGCAGAAAGAATCAACAACTGGCATCTCATCTTATTAAAAAGCTTCTGCAGGCCCTGGGATTTAGCTCAGTGGTTCTGGCGCCTGCTTTGCAAGCACAAGGACCCAAGTTCGATCCCTGGTACCAAAAAAACAAAAACAAACAAACAAACAAAAGCTTCTGCACTGTCAAAGAAACCATCAACAGAACTGAGACAACTTACAATGTGGGAAAAATTTTTACCAGTTGCTCCTCAGACAAAGGACTATTATCTAGAATATATAAAGAACTCAAAACAACCAGCCCCCCCCAAATATAAAGACCCAATTCAAAAATGGGCATCTGAAATGAACAGACATTTCTCAGACTAAGAAGTAAAAGCAGCAAGTAAATATATGAAAAAATGTTCCACATCACTGGTCATTCAAGAGATGCAGATGAAAACAACACTGAGATTTCACCTCACCCCACAAAGAATGGCTGCTATCAAGAAATCACACAATAACAAATGTTGGTGCAGTTGTGGGGAGAAAGGAGCCCTTCTCCATTGTTGGTAGGAGTGCAGACTGGTGCAACCACTATGGAAATCAATATGGAGATAACTCAAAGAGCTGGGACTAGAGGTTCCATTTGACCCAGCCATCCCTCTGCTGGGTATCTTTCCAAAAGAATTAAAAGAATCATACCACAGTGATATATGTGCACCAATGTTTATAGTGGCACAGTTTGTAATAGCTAAAACTTGGAAACAGCCCATTTGCCCATCTGTTGGAAACTGGATAAAGAAGATGTGGTTTTTCTATAAAATGGAATACTACTCAGCCATAAAGAATGGGAAATTAGACTCATTCATAGGAAAATGGATACATATTGAGGATATACTCCCAAGTGAAACAAATAAGTCATACATGTGCAAATACTGAATAGTTTCTCTGGTGTGAAAAACTATAATAGTACATAAGATCCTAATGAGATAATTGACCATGTGAAATAGGAAGAAAGGGGCTAAAGGTGTAGAGAAAATGGGAAGGGTAGGGGAAAGGTAATAAGGGATAAGAAAAAATATGACAAAATGACAAAATGGAAATAAAGTGTTTGTAAACAGTATGAACAGGAGGAGGGGGTAAAGGGAGGGCAGGGACAAGGGGAAAAAATGAGAACCAAGACCTGTCATGTGAAGGTGCAGGATCCCAATAATGAATGTAATTGTACTCTATACCTAAAATGTACCAATAAACTCAGTAAAAGAAAAAAAAAAGAACAAACAGACTGATACATTGGAAAGCACCTCACTGCTGGTCCACAGAGAGTGATGATACTGTGTATGATGAAGCCATTTGTGTGTGGAGTTAGTGCTTTCTTACAGAGCTTACAGTGGTGTCAATAGTGCCCATGCTTTGTCCTAATTACCTAGTTCTGGAAATTTGTTTTACAGTGTTATAACTAAATTGTTGCTACTACTTTTCCCTTCTAGGGGTTTCTGGAGAGAACTAATTTCCTTGCTGGAAGAGCTTTTGGAGCTGCATTTTCTCAGATCATGGCTCCTTCCTTCATCTTTAAGGCCAGTGATGAAGTAGTGAGGCAGGAGATTACAGCACGGCAAAGAGGCTGGACATGGGTGTGACAGGCACAGAGCTCTCACATCATGGCCAGGACACATGCATTTGGGTAGTCTAGGATAACCTCCCATCGCAGGATCTTTAACTTAATCACGTCTACAGGATTCCTTTTGTTGTACAAGGTAGAATTTGTAGGTTCCAGAGATTGAGATGTAGATATATATGAGAACCATTATTCACTTGACCAAAGGACACTTGGGAAGTTGATGGGGAAAAAGTCTAAGCAAGCCCTAGGACTGCACATGAAAGTGGTTTCTGGACAGCAAGGTGCCTGGGGTGTGGTATGGAAGTTACGGAGGTGCGGGGTCATGGTAGGCAGGATTCTCTGCCCTTCTCCACCAGAGGCTGTCTCTCCATAGCTCAAGACCCAGGACCGGGGCCCTCGCAGGCGGAGCCCTCAGGACAGAAATCTTTTCCCTGTGGTTCTGGCAGCTGTTGTCCTGTTCCTGTCCTCCCGATTTGTCTACAGGATTCTGCCAGAGAAAACTTGTTAGCAAACTGCGGTGCTCTGTTCAGTTCTTTTTCTTTCATTGCATCCCTGCCTTTTTACTTGTCATGAAAGATCCCCATTCCACACCCACTCGTTGTTTTTAATCACCTTCCCTGGCTTTCCCTTCCTTTGAGTCTCTAATTCCATCCTTCCGCCACCTCTTCAGTGTTCCTAAAATACCCAAGATTTCACCTGCTTGCTGTGTTTTTTTTAAAAAAATATGCTATCCAGCTAGCAAGTGATTCCTGAGTCCTACAGTATTCTTAATTCACTCCCCTTAAAATAACATTTTTTGATTTTTAATTTTTCTTTCATATTTAAAGCCTACGTCTTTTCTTTTATAATCTGCTTGGATATATCTTGTGTTTATGCCTTGCTCGATCTTTGCCATTTTGTATAATGTTTCATACTTATTAGAATATTTCAATGAAGTATTTCCAAAAATGATATTTCTCCTTTTTAAAAATTTTAAAATCTCTAAATACTTGCCCATGTTTTTACTTATTCTCATTAATGCATGGGAAATGCAAGGGAATTATCTATATTTAAGACTGACATGGTTTTGAGAAAATTGCTAGCTTTTGAAAGTTTATGGGTATTATCTTTAAGGTAAATTTCTGTGGTATTTTCCTTAATCGGGTTGATATATTTCTAAAGATTGCTGTGGTATGTGCTCCGTGAGGACATGCATGTCTGTGTTATCACTGTATCCTGGGAGATCACAGATGTGGGTGGCTGGATTTTAGTAAATAATTGAATGAACGTGAGAATGAATGATCAAGTTTCGCAATAGCTTTAAAAAGTAATATAAAAATGTCCAGTGCAGACTACAACGCTATAATCAGAACAGTGAAATATAGACTTTTTTCATTTTCAATCCAATTTGCAATCTCTTCTAGTCTATTTTGGTATGAGTAGTAATTTATACCGTGAACAATGTAGCTAAGTTGTGTATGTTGAGAGGATTGGTGATCTATTTAGTTTATGAATTTATAAGTACAGAAGATATTATGTACATATCATTTTATATATACTGTATATAGTGAGGACTCTATACTATAGAATTATACAGATATTAAGATAATAATTATCTTAGTTTGACAGTGTTGAGTGATGGGACATGTGATTCTGGTACTGAAATAAACATGCCGTATGAGGCAAATATTCCTCTGCTATCCTTTTCTCCTTGTTTCTTTAGGAATTGTGTGTAGGAACCGGTCCACTGTGACCTGGAATTACAGTGTAAATATATGTTGGGAGTATGTTACACAGCTTCACCATTTTAAAGGGTTATTTCACAGTGTTCTCTTTGCTTGTTTTGTATTCTTCCCTGGTTTAAACTTTACAGATGATGGTGATGTTATCTTTTGTATTGTTTCTCTTCAGAATGGCTTCACTCCTTTATACATGGCGGCCCAGGAGAACCACATCGATGTTGTAAAATATTTGCTGGAAAATGGTGCTAATCAGAGCACTGCTACGGAGGTAAGACTCCGTAATTTGATGTTACTGCCCATGTTCTTTATACCAGTTGCAAAGGATCACCATTATCTTGTCTAAAATATGCTAGACATGATGTTTATATCATTGCTATAATCCACAACAGTGTTCATAAATGAATAACTCAGGTTTGTGTATGCGGTTCTAGAAGTTTATGTCTTCATCTTAGATTCCTCACCATTTATTCTTCCATGAAATCATGCTCTGTCATTTGGCATACACTATAGCTCTTGGTATTTTGATGCTATCCTAAAATTAGACTGCAGTAATTCCTACCCATCTCTTTTTATCAGTAGTTTATCTCATTATAATCCAATACAATTCCTTAAAGGAATAATTTCTAGTTAACAGAAATAATGCATGCGTATTTGTATTAATATAATGCCCTGAGGAATTTGCCACTAAAAATGCCATTTACATTAAAGCACAAATTACAGCAGTATGTGACTATGAGTATGACAACAACGGAATAAAACGCTGAATATCGGTCCAGTTTCAGAGTGTTCAGGACGTCTAGACCTAGGGTGGAGATGGCAGTGACTCGGAACACCACGTTCTTTCCTACACGTGTCCACCTCATAAGAACGTGCTTTGTATTTTGATCTCATTTTTACTTAAATGGATTCAGCAGCAAATCAAAAGTTTGCCCAGGCAGTGATTTCTAAGAGATGTTCCAGAAGCCACTGAGCTCGGAACAAGTGCTTTTGGCCCCACTCGAAGGTTGGTAAATGATCTGCAGAGAACAGAGACAGGGGACTTTGGTGAGACACACCCTTCTCACCTCTTGCAGCAGAGCGTGTAGTCGCTGCATTTTCTCCTCCATAATATATGTCCCTATTGATAAAATTTTAAAATTCCAGGCAGGAGTGAAACATGGCTGATAGATGCTTATAACCCAAAAGCATCTTGATTTTTAGTGGTGAGTATGGCTTGCTTTCCAGACAGTGACATCATTAACAAAATAAATGTGAACATGCTTCTACACTGCATTGGAGGAATCATTAAAATCTATTAATCTGTTTCCAGTCCTTTTTTTTTTTGGAGACAGGGTCTTGCTATATAATTCAAGCTGGCCTTGAACTCACTCTGTAGCCCAGGCTGGCCTCAAACTCATGGTAATCCTCCTGCCTCAGCCTCCTGAGTGCTGTGATTATAGGTGTGTGCCACCACACCCAGCTGTTTCCAGTCTTTTGGGGGAAGACTTTCAATCAAACTTATAGCGATCACTTTCTGACAGCTAGTTCTCATTAGTTAAAGAAAAAACTCTAATTTTCTGCTATACCTGGAAGACACAGTTGTCTGGTATGAAATTATGTCATCTTCCTTATTCAATATACACAGATTTTACACTCTTGCCACAAGTGAACCATGTGATTTTTATGATTTGGGGCCTTTTTACTTTCCTGAGACGTGAATTCTGTACATGAGTAGCATATGAATACTTCAGGCAGTGCTTGGGCAACAAAGAGACTGTATCTCTCAGACATGCACCAGAATAAGAAATCCTATTTGTTATATTCTTTCTTGAAAGCAGAATCATTTACCAGGTGGAACATTTACATCTGAGTTCTTTTTTCAGTGAGTAGACTAAAGTCTCTAGTGTGTGGTTTGGGTAAACTCAGCTCCTGACATTCTCAGCTGACTCATGGCTCCTTTGGTCTAGATCTTTATAGTATTTTAGTTTGGTTCCCAAAATACCCCTTCATTTACATGGTACAGGTAGAGGCCATGTTACCCTGAGATCTGCAGAAATTTAAAACCCTCTCTGATTTCCACACAGAAATGCTATTTTTGCAGATAAATTATCTGTAGTTTTGAATCCAAGCTTCTACGTGTGTGTACTGTATATGTTTTATTTAAATAATTGCGTAAGTCACCCAAATTGATTGTTCATGATTGGATGTATATAAACTTAATTCATTAAAGCCAAACCATTGATCCTAACTTATCAACATTCATACACCTGAACAAACCTTTGCACATTTCCTTGTAAGTGTATCATTCTGTAGAATACACACACACATATATCCTTATTATAGAGGTATGTGATTGATTACAATTTGATACTCTATATGTCAAAATAGCTTTATTGTGAAAAATTACTTATTAATCAAGCCATCATAACTAGTTTAAAAATCATATAATTATGTACTGACCTTTAACATGGTTTTCCTTTTCATAGGCTTAGTTAAGGGACTTAAAGAAATTGTAACAAATATTTTGCCTTCTCCCATAAAGTATAGTGAGAATAAAATACACCTAGTGGGAACCCAAGGTTAAATTCTCTAAAGGGAGTTGTCTGTCCTTCTGGTACTATTTCTGTAACTCTCTACTTTCTTCCTCTTCCTCAATGTTGCCATAATTGAGGGCTGAAATCTTTTTAATAAGGTTCTATTCTGAGAGCAAACACTTCTGTAAGAAAAAAATAAAGTTCACACTTTTAATATAAACTACTGCAGTGTTTCAGGGGTAGAATTCAATATGTATATGATACTGAGTAATTTTCTCATTCAGAGAGGATTTAGTTTGTGGCAAGCAAGCTTCTAAATGAAAGCTTGAATTTTTCTTCTGAATACACTACATGCTTTACTCTTCCATTCTGTTAAGTAATGTGGTATGTTTAAAATGCAAATCTTACCAAAGATTAAAAATTAAATTCTTATTGTGGTTCAGCCTGCATATATGATACAATACACTTCAGGAAAATTATTTTCCCTCCAAAGCGTACAGTTATAATTTTAAATATCATTGTTGAAAATAAATTGAATAATTACACTGTAGCAAATTACTTCTGTCTGTAGAATTCTCCCTTTTGAGGTACATCCAATAGCTGTCATCTTTTCTCTATAGGAATAGAAAATTTTAAGATTTGTTTTCAAACTTTTGGAAGTTAACGAGATTTTTACACAAATAGAGCCTAGAACACATATATTTTTTCTTCTTACTTTCCACCATTCTAGGAACTAAAAACTTGTTTCTAAAGGGAAAACTTAGCTTTTCAAGTTTTCTAACATGGTTATTCTGTTTACACCCGAAATTCTTGTATTTTTACATTAACTGTTCTACAATATAATTTATTTACCTGTCCCTTTGGAGTTGGAAAGTTAATTTTTAATATTTTAAATGGTATTAAATTTTGTATCTAAATGATCTTAATAATAAAAAATCCAACTAAGTATAAAATTAATGATTTGCTTAATTTGCTAAAGTTTTAGGTGCATTATGTTCCAAACATCCAAAATTGGACTTCTAACAGCTCATTCCACTTGCAGTGATTATCATTTTTTCCTAAACAATGCAGAAACATTGAGCAACTTGTATGATTGAACACATATTTTATTTATCTATGATGGTTACCATATTTTTTATTCCCAGCGGGTCTGGCTTCCATTTTTTCTAACTTGTCATTTTTTTTCTTTTACATAACCAGGAATTACTTAGGGTTTGCTCTCATTTTTATGTTCCAGTTATCAACATACATTTTATTACACTCCTGCTCAGGAATGATCTCATTCTATATGTAGTATATTTTGTTAGGATGAGGTATAGAATGTGTAGAATAGAAAACTTTTTCATTAAGTTTACTGGTACTTTTTACATATATAGTACAGTTACATTTATCATTTGGATCTTGTAGCTTTACATGATGAATCTTGGTTCTTATTTTTCCCCTGTAGCCCTGCCCTCCCTTCAACCCCCTCTACCCTTCCCTATTTGCAGACTTTGTTTCCATTTTTTTCCTTTTCTCATATTTTTTTCTTTTCCCTTCTTTCCTTTCCCCTACCCTTCCCACTTCCCCTACTCCTTTGGCCCTTTTTTTCCTATTTCACATTATCAGTTATACAACTTGAACCTTATTTACCTTTTTACATTTTCATACTAGAGAAACTATTTGGTATTTACATGTGTGTCCTATTTATTTCATTTAAGGATGTGGCCTCAATGAGCATCCATTTATGTATAAATGCCTCTAGATCCTCATTCTCTATGGCTGAGTAGTACTCCATATTATAGGAAAACCACATCTTCTTTATCCAGTCTCCAGTTGATGGGCACTTGGGCTGTTTCCAAGTTTTTGCTATTACATACTGTGCCACTATAAACATGGATGTACACATATTACTGTGGTATGATTGTTTCAATTATTTTGGAAAGATACCCAGCAGAGGGATAGCTGGGTGAAATAAGACCTCTATCCTAGTTGTTTGAGGTATATCCATATTGATTTCCACAGTAGTTGCACCAATCTGCACTCCAACCAACACTGGAGAAGGGTTCCTTTCTCCCTACAACGCCTCAAGCATTTGTTATTGGTAGATTTCTTGATATCAGCCATTCTTTCTGAAGTGAGGTGGAATCTCAGTGTTGTTTTCATCTACATCTCTTGAATGACTGGTGATGTTGAACATTTTTTCATATATTTATTTCCTGCTTTTACTTGTTTACCTGAGAACTGTCTGTTCATTTCAGATGCCCATTTTTTAATGTGGTCTTTATATTTGGAGGGTCTGATTTTTTTGAGTTCTTTATATATTCTACATAGTAGACCTTTGTCTGAGGACTAGCTGGTAAAATTTTTTTCCCACATTTTAGGTTGTCTCTTAGCTCTATTGGTGATTTCTCTTGCAGTGCAGAAGCTTTTTAATAAGATGAAATACTGGCTGTTGATTTTTGTGCTAGTCCTCATGCTGCTGAGGATTTGTCCATAAAGTCTTTTCCTATGTCAGTGTCTTAAAGAGTTCTATCTAAATTATCCTCCAGCAAGTTCAGTGTTTCTGTTTTAATATTTAGATCTTTAACCACTTTGATTCATGGTGAGAGATATAGGTTTAGTTTTAATCTTTGGCCAGTTGAAATCCAACACCATTTATTAAAGAGGCTGTTTCCTCCAGTGAGGATGGTTGGCTCCTTTGTCAAAGATGAGGTAGCTGAGTGTGTCTGGTGTTGTTTCTGCATCTTCTAATCTATTTTCACCAATCCTGGGG